ATGCTGGTCGATTCTTTGGCCGAAATGTCACGTGTCACACCATTTCTCAGGGATTTGTGTTCATTCTGAATGAGTAACATTGTATTCTGAAGATTAGCAAATGGGAATGTCATACCACATTTCAGTTGCATACTGACGTCGTTACCATTGCGACGAGACCATACCTTGACCTGACATGATGGTATGCACGCCTCAACGATCCATTGAGCTATGCTGGGTGGTGCTTATGGCACTTCCGAGCTACTCATACCAGATTGGTTAGTGGTTAGACGCCGGACCAACTCAGTATTCTGGCCATCCAGATTGCGGGTTAGAGTGAGTATGCCTACTTACACTATGAAACGGACTAACTTTAGCTTAATGACGAAAATCCGCTGCGTTGAGATAATGTTTTGAACCAAAAGCTTCTGTTGAGACGCCTAATACCCTCATATCGAGGCCACAGTAAGCTGACAGTACCCTGTCCACGAAATACCATGAATTTCTTCCCTAACGATTTCTTGACGCTCCTGCCGTCTCAGCGAATTACCAATGACGCTCAGTCTACTGCATCGAGTAGGGTGGATGGGTATGCCAATGAAAATAATCAAGCCCTCCAGTCTTCTTGTTCCCCACTTGCCATTTTCATCCTCATCATCTCGCTTTAACTTCCATTCCATACCCCTTGCTTCAGTCCCCCAATTATTGACCCCCTTAGCTTGATTCATTGTTCGCCAGTCTGCTAGTTTCAACCAGCACGCAATCAATGGGCTACACTCCAATCCATTCGACAAACGCAAGTTCAACCAAGCGGACAACATCAGTTCATCTGTTTCGCATTCATACCGCCGATCCTCGCTATGAATGACATGCCTAAACGTGCGTACTTTCGTGCAGATTGAGCAAAATGCTGCACATTCCAAAACATTATCGACAATATCGATTCATTATTGCCACTTATCGGAAATTCGCGTGCAAGTTTAGCGTTCCGGGATTATCCTGTGGTGCTCCAAATGCGCTACGCATAACATCTGGTGTTAGCCAGACCACATGGGATGAGGGTGGACAGCCAATCCACAGTTTGCCAAAACGCTTGGAGCGCTGGGCTGAACACTTTAAAAGCAGCTTTATCAACCCGAGTTGTCAGAGTTACTTCGATACGTATTCAGAAAATCTGGCATCACCAGTTGGCTGCTGTCTATGCGCTCACAGGCTTTTGAGGTCGACCGCCAAAGCGCGCACACATATCAGCACATACAAGTGCATGGACAGTGTCCACACATGTGCCTCAAATCGAGCGACAGTTCTGGAAGCAGCCCCTCAATCGAAAACTGATCGCGATGTGATCGATTTGCATCTATCGCTTATTTAAAGCTGCTGGGCGCCATATCACCTTCAGAGGAATGCTGTATCACAAGGTATAAGTGAGCATCTTCACACAAATGAATTCACCGCACACCGTTATCATTATGGAAGACTACACCATATTGGCCGCCAAATGTAGATTATCGGTGGACAATTTCCCAGCATAAGCGTTCAGATCCCCAGCCAGCACTAATCTGTCCCTGCTACTTTTGTGTTGAAGGAGCGCGTTCACTTGACGACAGAAGTCTCCGTTTAACTAATCTTCGCTAGAGTCTATGGTCGCAAAGGCAGCGATGACAAACACTCATCTATTAGCCCCGCGTTGATTCGAAAGAGCCAGGCAGTCGGACCACACACATCCGGCTACTGCTTGGGATCCAAACAACCAGCACAGCTTCAGCCCGGGGAATCAGAGCAAAACCAACAATGGCTTGGCCGCTAATCGACCCTGCATCATCCCCGGGTAGACGCTAAATCATTTGGTCAGCCGCGGAAAAAAAAATCAGCGGAATGTTGCACTAACATTCATTGCCCACATAGCTGAATGTTTATTGTCCTGGACCTGACAGCAGAAGCTCGCGGCAAATGAGAGCTATTCAACAAAGTGCGCATCACGTTTACTGCTTGACTGATGTCGAGCAAGATAAATACACTTCGAAAATGCTTCTGTTACCTGTGTGGTGCATATACGTAGGGTGTGTCTCGTGTATCAACTTAAATTGCGACCATTTGAAAACCTTAAGCGAATATTTTGCAGAAGTGGAAGAATTAGCTTTCCTTATAATTAATGCAAACGGTCATTCAGTTCAATCCATACCCATTTAATGTAAACAGGATTGCGAGTAAAGATACGAAATTAGCACGTGCAGTAATATTTGGGTGGGCGAGACTGAATAAGCACTGCGGTACCGTAATTTTATTGTGCATTGTGTTTACCTATATTGCTTAAAATTGTTGTTGGTTAACCATTAAATCCAGTGCTAGCGGCAAACCATCTATTGAACCTTGAATTTCCAGTTGTTTGCTTAAAGGAATAAACATTTTACGTAGCTGAAAACACATTTCATCTGCAATCTATGCAAGCAGGGGCTGTTTGAACGTGAAAGCAGTAGCATAGACTTGGTTGCGACCACTCCAGAAAAACATATTTTAGACCCTGAATATCTCATTGGTATTCACTTTAGCAGGCTAGCTGTATGCAATCACCGATATTTGCAAAGTATGGATACGATTATCGTTTGGTAATGCACAGAAAACAGTGACTCACAAAGTGTTTCGGACGATATTTCTGCCACTAAATAACAGCTCATCGGTAGGAACAGTAACAATGACATGATAGGTTAATTATTGTTGAATTACTCTGGTCGTACGTGTGTTAACGCGTTAGATATACGCTCTGCTACTGTTACTTTCGGTTCGCGATTGGTTGATAAACGGACTCACGACAGCGCATAACATTTGGTTAGTGTGGTTTTCTGAACAATGAGCATTTGCCTGGTCGATATTTGTAATCGCCAACACTGTCAAACCGCGGTGTTTACTACTTGATTTGCAAGCATAGAAATATCATGAGTAGAGTAAGCAATATCTTGAAGGCTAAATGTAGAGAAGAACTCTGTGTAGTAACCCGCATAGTTGAACTCCGGAGGTTAACTATCCTTAATTTGTCACGTGAATTACCGTAGTCCGAAGGCATTAAACGACCCTTTTTCATCAATGAGTACAATGAACAATGATTTATAACAGGATGAAAGCAAATGCTTGACATCTCTCTTAGGATGGTTGGGGTGAATATGATGGAATCAAAATATATCTGAGTCACTTACCGTACGTCTGTTTGGATGAATACTCCGATAATTTACACCAGTGTAAAATTTAAAATAAAAACGAGCGTAAACGTCCAGGAAGACGCTGGGGTGCGGTGCACATTGATATAAGGCATGAAGAAAGTAAAATATGGTCACTCACTTGGGTCGATTAGATACATAAATCCAGTAGAAAAGCTTGCTTGGCCTAATCCACAATAGAGGAGCTTAGGTAACAAAATGGCTGGGAGCTAAGAGCAACTTCTATTCGTTTTTTGAATACATCCAAGGTAGGTGAGGATACAACTGAGTCTGGGAGTGCGTTCCACGGTTGGCAAACACAAAGGGAAAAGTAATTACGTCGACACTAGACAACTATATTGTTCCTTCAATTTTAAGCAGTTACCTCTGAGCTACCTGTTGTGGCTAAGTTTCAGCAAATGGCGACATACGTGGTTGGGGTCACTCAATATCTGATACGCTAATATGAGATCGCCGCGCAGCCTTCGATAACGTCCGCTGAAAATTCCCAGTAACTTCAGCCTTCGGTGGTAAGAGTGATAGCGCAAACCTTTTACATTATATGTTGCTCTTCGTTGACATGCTTCTGGCGCCTCTAGGTCGCGCTTCAACCAAGGTTGCCAAGCTTGAATTGCGTATTCAATATGCGAGCGCACGTAGGAATTGTGCATCATTGGGAAGATTGATGGGTCAAATCTCCCGAATGCCTTTCGCAGCATGCCGACATGCTGGCTGCCTTTTTTCGAAGCTACCTCAGTCTGTTTTGAACAGTTGAGGTCGCTCTGTACGATCACACCCAGGTCACAATCCTGGGAGCTGGTCTGCAATCCGTTTGTCCCAAGCAAATAGGTGTAGTTAAGCCTATGGCGTAATTGCACAACACGACATTTGTCTACTTTGAACGGTAGAGCGTTTTGAACTGACCAGTTTGTCACTGTGTTATGATCGCACTGGAGCCGTTCGTCGTCGTCCGGTCATCTGATCCTGCGGCATATCTTGATATCATCAGCGCAAAATGGGAAATCGGAAGCAATTGATCTCGCCAAATAGTTAATGAGTGCCAAGCTTAGATGAGGTCCAAGAACCGAGTCTTGTGATACTCCACACGCCACATCGCTTGCATCAGAGAGTGATTCTCGGACTCTCACCACCAGCCGTCTTTCTTTTAGAACATTGCTAAGCAAACTCAGGGCTGGGTTGCCAGTGCCGTAATTCCGAAGCTTCTGAAGTAGAATGCGATGGTCTAAGCGATCCAACGCTTTTGAAAATCCAGGTAGATGACATAGACTCCAACTCCATCATCAACAGCCTCAGTCCAGCTATTACGTGCAATTAATA